CCCTGCCCTCCTTTTAAAGGCTAGCCAATAAAGCAATTTTCTAAGCTTACAGTCAGGGCTTAACAGACCCCTGTTAATCAAGGTCAACAGATTCTTCCAGGTATCTAACAAATCATTTAAGCTTTAAGTCTATTTGTTCCAGTTAGAACACAAAGAAAAAAATTTTTTATAATGACCTATGGTAAGAAATCTAACTAAGTACAATTCCAAATAAGAAAGTTAGTAGGGAATATTCACGAACTGGATCTATCATTTTTTTATTTGATCTTTTTTTTTTAATCTTTCACTTTTCTTGTAAAAGTACTAAACTTCTCTTGTGAAAGCATTAAATTATGAACCATCATATTTTTTTAAAGCCATAATTTAAAAAATTGCAATAAATATTTTCAAAGTCATAGTATCATTGTAAAGAGAATACATGTATATTTCAGCCTTGTATGTACATCAAAATGATCTGCAGTGAATTATAAATTAAACCATTTGAAAGTTATTGGGCAGCATTATTAACTATTGCGGTCTTCCTTTCTCCCTCAATCTCTTTCTGAGTCACTATTGCTTACCTCAGTTCTTCACTATTTTCTCAAACATTAAGTCCTCAAGGGGAAAAAAAAGCAGAATTGATACAGAATATTATTAAAGCTGTGGTTTTGGGAGACAGATGATATTAATTCTGCTGCTATCATTTGAAATTTATGGAGTCCTAAAGATTGCAATAGTTTGCAGAAATATAATTTATTCATTTTCTAAATTATCTACTTTAGTTTTTTGAAGTTTCAATAGTTTAATTTCAGTGTTGCTTTTTGAAAGTTAAGATCACTGAAACATCACAGATTTTGAAACAGTAACTAAGAGTTTTATAAAAACTCCTTATCTTTTGAGAAGGCTTATATTGACTTCTTGAGGTTTGATTTAAAGGATTATGGTTCAACTTGTATAGAGTAGATCAGAATTTGACCTGTTACCTCATAAAATGTTTTTGAGCAAAGCAGGTATAGCATTTTACTATGAGGGTTATAATATTTCATTTACTTACTTGTTTGTTTTCATTAGCTTTATTTTAGGTTTCTATTTTTGAGAGAAAAATAGTAATTGAATTTTTGAGCATCTAGTATATATAAATCTTCTACTATATCTCATGATTTTCACACTTAGAGAAATAATATTCTATTTTATTCTCAGGATTGTGTCCTGGTTGTTTGCAATTTTGAAAAGAGCTATAGATAAATAAAAGAAAATCACAATAACTGAGGTGCAGGGAAAGTTAACACATGTTTTCTTGTATTTGAAAGCATGCTGGATTAGTACCGACAGATAAGCAGCTGTTGTTGGATTCTTGATAAGAAAGGGCAAATGCTGTTGACTGCCTCTGAAGTTATGCAAGGCGCTTTCTTTAAAGACATTGATATAAGAGTGGGAGACACTGACATTTGACTCCATGGAAAAATATGCTATGGAACAATCACTAAAGTATTTGTAAAGTTATCATTTGCCTACAATCCTAGGCCTCACTGTTGAGCCTGAGTCAAACCTGCCAGATGCCTCTTCCCTTTAACTATCCCTAATTACTATTTAGGTCCTTCCCCAAATACCCAATTTACTCTAAATTCCTCTAAGTCCCTTGGGTTCATGTACAGTCATGGACATAGAGTAAATATTTTCTCAAAGGGCTACTCCATTATCAAAGAAATACTAGGTATTTTGAAGGAATAGAGCATGATTTAGCTATTTCCACAATCTCAAAGTTGTAACTAGTCATAGCATCAAGCTATATGTTAACATACAGTTTCACTCTACTTCCACTCTGGGAAGACAGGATTTGCTCCCACTAGTAAAATACGAGTGAAAAATACTGTGTATCCCTTCTAAGGTAGAAGCATTTAAGAAGTGGTGGGTAGAACTCCAAGTTTCTTTCCTCCTGGGTTGACCTACCTTTGGAAACAGATGATTTTACAACTTTCAAGAAACATTAACAGGAAGTTTATAGATATTCAATGGCAACATGCCTGTTACCATTTTTATTCTAGTCTTCATCCAAACTACCAATTACCAGGACAGTTCATTTTTTCCTGGTAGGGTAAGAGCATATATTTGAGGTTTGGGCTTCCTCTAAATATTGATTTTAGTATTTTTATTTTTCCATATTTATGGTTTTAGGTTTTTACCTCTGTAATGTCTGTGATATTAAGTATTTCAGTGCGTGCATTCACCGTAAACCTTAGGGAGACTCCCTGGAGTGCTCTGGCTTACATGGCAGGAAATATTTGATTCAGCTTCCTGACAAACTGGAAGAGGTTTCTCTTTGGATGAGAAGTTCCCACTGCCAATGAACATGCCATATGTCTAGACACATGGTTTTGTTTTTTATGCTGTTTAAAAGTTAATTTATTTTATGTAGCCCATGGCTGGGATAATCATTTATAGGCTTCTGAGTACCAGAATTGGTGTCAGGTTTGAAAGTGTTCTGCTTTGGGCAGGAATGAGAAAGTATTGCTTCACTGCAAGGCATGAAGTCAGAGAAACATACTTATTATTACTAAGAGGAAACTTCTCAACAAGATCGTTTTTTATTAGCACTTGGTGGTAGCATACAATGTTATATAGCATAGGTATAAGGAAATGTTACCCACATATTGATTTAGAGAGACAGTGTTATAGATTATGCTATAATTAGCTATCCTCTGTGTTATTTCTTCATGTCACTTTGAAAACTCATGTTTGGAATTGAGTTAAAAAATTATTTCCCCCTTGTTTTAAACCTGGTCATTTCTATGTCACTGTTTTATCAGGACAAATGAATAAACAAGAGACATTGGGGGAAATGATTTAAATAAATTAGTATTTAATCTCTATTCGTGACTGTTTTGGCAAAATATCATGTAAATCTCTACTTAGGTGTCTTGAGGATGAAATTTTTCTCTCTGTCAGGTAGACTATAAAACAATTCTTAATTCCAAAAGCTGAGACTAGGGGCCTCCCTGGTGGAGCAAGGGGTTAAGTCTCAGAACTATGAAGCAGTGCCACAGCAGCCACTGCAGCATGAGTTTGATCCCCAGCCAGGGAGGTGACCCACATGGCGCAGCAGACCTCTCCTGTCTTGCCAGCTGCTCCCCTCAGCAGGTGGTCAATCTGCCTGTTCTGTTCCCCACTCTGTCTCTGGTGATCCTCTCACTGTCCTTGTACCTCTGGCCAACACCCCAGCTCTTATATGCATAAATAAATGAATCCTTAAAAAAAAAAAAAAGTGAGAATAAGCATAAGTCCTACTATCCTAGCTCACAATTCCAAAACAACAGCTGTATGGAAACCCAATTATTATTAGCCAATGTTCTGGAGATGAAATAATGAGCAAGACTCGGTCTTCTCTTCAAGACTCCAGTGGATATTTGGTTTGACTGATCAATAGAAGGTCAAAAAATTTTAGTGAAGTTAGAAAAGTATCACACAAAAAATAAAATTAAAATGTAAGATGTGGGAGCTAATAACATTTGCCACTTACTGTTTTTAAAAATTTAGTTTGTACGAAATATTATTGGGTAATGTGACTAAAGATTTAAATCGGGTATCAGTGGAGAACTAGGATATTAGAGTGTGGAATTCTATGTTTCTAATTATACTAGAGAAACTCATTCTTCCTTATTCTCCATAGCAAGATAAAGCTTTCTTAAATTTTGTAAATTCTGTGCAGTTTTTTAATGGATGCCATTAACAGTCCATTTCATTCTGTCTTTAAAATATATGTCAGAATGAAGAATGCAGGGAAGATTTCCTCCTTTTTCCTCTCCACATCCCCTGTCCAAGGCGATTAAAAAAAAATCTTGGAGACCATCATTAATTATTTTATTGTTATTAATTCAACAAATAAGATCTGATTGAGCACATGTGGCAATGCTTACATCACTTCACAATGGAAAACCCTCTATTCCAAGTATAAACAATTAGTTGGTTAACTGTTCCAAACAAATTTCTGCTTGCTTGACATCTAATCTTGACTGTTGACTGTTTCAATGGTTTTAACCAAAGGAATAGGCAGGGTTTAGGGATACCTTTTACTCTTGTTGCATTCTTTATCACCTCCTGAAAACAGCCATAGGCAAAAGAAATCTATTGTATTCTAAGCTTGCACTTAGTTTTAGGCTGACTGCAGTTATGGTGACAGACCCATTTGTAGCTCCTAGAAAGCTGTACCTCAGTAGTAAAGCAGTACTCAGAATTGGTAGGAGCAGTCTTCTGATATAGCTTTAAGATTTCAAAGCAATAAAAAGGTATGTTTTGTTCTCCTTTCTTTAAAATGTGTTTCTTAATGATCTGACACAACTTTTTAAATAGCAGACACCTAAGGGTCTATTATAACTTTATCAGTTTGAATTTGATTTGTTCAGAAACAATCTACCCTGCTTCCTAATGTTTTTCTAAGAACAACACACTACTGATTCTAAAACAGAGACAATTACCTTTGATAGACATTTCCTTGCTTTTAACAGGTTTATAAAAGACAAAGTCATAAAATAAATTACCTCATTTGGTTACTTTGGAATTCTTTCATAAGCAGTCTATCTAGAAGTTATTTTGTTCAAAAGTAGAAATTCTACAGATAGACTACTAAGAGTTTATTTTGCCTGAGGCAGTACTTTGTTTATGATTACCTCATTTTCTTCTCAAAATAAAAGAATTTACTTTATGTTTTATCCTGTAAAATCTTGAACACTTGACCTCTAATTTGCCCATGTATGGGACGATGATTAATTATCAGTAGAAAACCTTGACCTCCTAAGAGCAAAGAAAGGATGGCCTTATATTTAGGTCACTGTCTCTATTAAAACACCTCAGTTTCTACAAAATGATTTCACCTCACAATTTTGGTTGGTAAGGAAGACATATTTGGCCTCCAGTTTTCTTTGGGCAATTTCAAGTTCTGATACTCATTTTTTCCAAACATTATTTGAATGACAAAATATACAAGAAGGATTGCTTAAAATCAAGAGGTCCATCTCATTTTACAGGTAATATTGATTGTATTCCTCGAAGAAGCTGAAACAGCAGGAAGCAGGTTATCTAGTTCATTAGCATGCCTTGCAAATGGTTTCTCCAGAATTGCCTTTCTGAAGTGGACTGCCTGCAATGCCACCAGTCTCCATGAAGTATTGAAGTTGCCACTACATTTATTGTATCACTGTTGTGAAGAAGACTGTTTATCAGGTATAACTGAAGCAGAAAAAAATAGTTTAGACTCTCTGCCCATTTTATCTGGAGTCCTAGAAGAAATTGTCTGATCTTACTGCCAACTGAATTGTTCTTTTGAGCAATTGGTTTCTTTTATGTAAAACTTAAAATTGTGAATTATATAACTAATAATTGCATCTTCCCAAAAAGGACTGAATTTTTCTCTCAGCAAATATATTACAGTAACTTACTATGAGCAAAGTGCAATGGGAATAACCTTGATAATAATAGCTAGTTTTTAATAAGCACTTCCTATATTCAGCCATGTTCTAAGTAGTAGAATATAGAAGCTCTTTCCTATTATTAATTTACAGATAAGGAAACAAATATCAAGAGGCTAGAAGAGGTTTAAGCAACTTGTCCAAAGATACAAAACTTGAAAGTATAAGAGCTGCCATTCATTATCAGATAGTCTAGCATGGCACTACCTCATATTGACCCTCAATTCAAATGGTGATCATTTGGGGCTTCCCTGGTGGTGCAAGGGGTTAAGATGCAGCCTGTGAAGATATCTGCAGCCTCTGCAGCCATCCACAGCCTCTGCAGCTATCTGCAGACTCTGCTGCACGAGTTTGATCCCCGTCCGGCTAGGGAGCAACCCACATGGTGAACCAGACATCTCCTGACTCACCTGCTGCTCCCCACAGCAGTGTACTTCGGTCAATCTGCCTGTTTTGTTCCCTACTCTGTCTGTGGTGAATCCTCTTATCCCCAACACCTCTAGCCTATACCCCACCTCTTGTATGCATAAATAAATAAATCTTAAAAAAGAGGTGATTATTTTTGCTTAACTTTCTATATTAACTTGTCTTATCTAATTTTTACCTATAAAATTCAAAACTATGAGCAAGGCATCAATCAAAAAATATTTCACAGTTTGGAGCATGTGGGCATTTGGTAAATATTAATTTGCTGAAGAGTGTTCAGGCACAATAAAGAAGTTACTTGGCCCCTACACCCAAGAATTAAAAAAAAAAAATCATTGTTATGCTATTATAACCTCTGAATATCTAAAGTGTAATATTGGAAACCATTGATCAATTGAGCCAGAAAAAATCGTTTAGACTCTTGACTTCCTTACAAAATAGAAAATGGAAAATAAACAGCTACCAAAACAAATCTTCCAAAGGATAAATCCATGATTGATTTGTTAGTGGTGAATGAATTTCTTCTATATTTCAGAAATGGAAAATTATTAGTACTTTGTCATAGTAAGTGCACAGAGTGTTTTGATTGACTGAGGAAAAGAGAACAAGGAGTGCAAGAATGTGAAACCCATTCTTGCTACAGTGCAAGTGTATCTGTTGTATCATGACCCTTTATCCTTTTGAAGAAGAAAGTTTAGTCTTAAATGTAGTCCTTCCATTTCTCAGGAAAGTTTGTCCTATGGACCACAGGCATTTGGTTGTGTGACAACTCACATACCATGCAGCTGCATTATGCTTCATAGTGTTGCATGAATATTATTTTTTTCAGAAATGTAAAAGGTACCAAAGGATTGTTATTTTACTTTCCTCACTCTTAGAGCTTAAAAAGATTGAGTTTGAGACTGTTAAAGTATCTGCAGAAATTTGAAATATAAACCATTACAAATTTTAAAATTAAATTCCAGGGAAAACCAAAAGCTAACTAGGAGCAGGAGGCTAGCAGCTGATTAGTGCGCAGTGAAAATGCATCAGAAGTTGAGTACTCCCACATCAGTCCTTTTTAGAGTAAGCATTTGACTAATTTGAATATGCTCAAAGCTGAGAGCTGGCCGAGATCTTATGCAGTCCAGATTTTTATTCAGTGTGTTTCTGTGAGAAGTCTTTCCCAGACAATATGGCACAATCAGAGTGGAAAGGAGTTTTGCTCCCCGGGATCCTTTTCCAAAAGGTAATTGCAGGACAACAAATAAAATCCCATTCTTCCATGAATTTAAGCCCATGAATCTCTGAACTTAGAATATCAATGATGGTCTTTCTCTTATTTCTACGCATTCATCAGGTAAAAAAAGAAATTACTTTTCGAAGAATATATTACTTTAGTATTTATGCCACTCAACCAGTATTTTCTGAGTATCCTATCTGTACTACACTAGGATCTTGTACTACACTAGGATCTTGAGATACATCAGCAGCAAACAGATAAGATGAATCTCTTGCCCTTAGGGCACTTGCCCCAAAACCAGATTAGTTAACACTTTGTGATAATGTTCTATACTGCACTGCAGAGTATCCTGAAAGATATTTTTTCTAAGTAATTACATAAAGGAAATGCACAAAATTGTTTCAAACTTTGCAAAAATAAAGTAACATCAACTCAGTGATTTTAAATTTTTCCAACTATCACAGGGCAACCCCAATGTGAAATGGGTTGGCCTGACTGGGGGTCCTCACCCATGTGCTTAAAAGGGACTTATGATGAGACACAACTGCAGACACACACAAAAAGTTTAATACAGGGTTTATTTACAAAAAGGGGGAAATAAAGAAATGGATAACTCAGGGAGAAGAGAGAGAAATTGGTGAATGCATCCTACCAGTTCTGCTGTTCTGAAATCCCAATAGTAAGCTGAAAGCTGGCAAAAAAACCAAGGCCCCCCCAAGGCCCACATGCCTGTCTATTTACCAACCCTGGCTGCTTACTTCCACCCTTAGTTCCCAGCAACCCTCCCTCCTGTGGTGATGACAATATGGGATTTGTAGTCCTTGGTGTCGTGGATCTCTTTGGTCTGGAGTGGGGGTGGATTCCATAAAATCTATGTTGGTGGACTTCATTCAGTGTATACTTTTCCCCCAACACTACCAACAATGGGGCATGATAATTTAATTTTCAAATGAATTATGTTTCCTGAATTATGTTTCCACCCTGTAAACTTTAAGTTAACAGAACAATTTCTAATTCTCAGTATGCATACTGTCTCTGCTCTGTCCCTTTGCCCTCCTGGCACGCCTTCAAACCTTGTCTCTCCCTTATTTGTTTAATGGTTATCATGTTTTAGTCTCAGTTCATAGATCAGTTCCTTCAGGAATCATTGCCAGTCCTCAGTATACTTTATCAACCTCATAACTTGTCATTCTTCAAATAGCTTGGAGATACTAAATTTAACTTTGTATCATCGGTACTAAACACAGCAATTGGTCCATGGTTCTTAATACAGTTTGAAAGATTGACTTTGACTAACAGAATGATTGATATCTAGTATTTAGATTTCCCCATAATTTGTTTTTTTTTTTTATTTTATTTTTTTATTTTATTTATTTTTTTTTAATAGAGGCATGTTTTATTTATTTATTTATTTGTTTGTTTGTTTGTTTTATTTATACATGCACTGGGTACAGTCAGAAGCGCGGGAGGGTGAGAGAATTCACCAGAGCCAGAGCAGGGAGCAGAGCAGGCAGAAGGACCGAAGTACACTGCTGAGGGGAGCAGTGGGCGGCAGGAGAGGTCTGCGCGCCATGTGGGACCCTCCTCCAGTGGCCGGGGAGCAGCCGGGGATCGAACCGGCGCCGCAGAGGCCGCGGGCAGCTTCGCAACCCAGCGCTCAACCGCTGCACCACCGGGGAGGCCCAGATTTCCCCATAATTTGAATTCTACCCATCTTTCCAATCTTCTCTCTTCAGTAGCTCCATATATAACCAATTGATCTATCCCAACCAAACCCTTCTACTCACAATTCTATGAAGATCGCTTTTATACCTTCATCTATGCCATTTCTTAAACATATCTGATGAGATTCTAGCCACGTGTCAAATCTTAAATCTAATTCCATTTATCCCGTGAAGTCTTCTGTATCACTTTGAATTCATGGTGCTACTTGTAGACTATTAAAATAAATAACAAATAAAAATAAGATACTTAGTAGTTATTTATGTATATCCTCATGGAAGTCCATCAGGCTGTCTGTAAAAGCGTCTACTTACAAAGATTTTGGTAGTTGTTTATCTCACAATGTATCTTACATGTTATATGTATATCTTACAACATATATAAGCATTATATGAGGATTTTTTTTTTTTATCCTTTCTAGTTGTGGTGCATTTAAGCAACTGTTATTATTGGAACTAGAAAATTGAACTCAGATTCATTCTCATTTTTTATCTCACTTATGTTATACCTTATTGAAAGGTAATAGAGAGTCAATAGTTTTAGATAATAGTGTAGTCAATAGTTTTAGATAATGCCTAGCATGGAATTGATGGGATATTACATTTTAAAATAAAACAGCAAAAAATTAAAAGACTGTGGACTGATTTGTAAAAAGTTAGTAAGCCTGTCTCATAATTTAACCATATAGGAAAACTTGCTATTCACTAACTTTAGGATTAAATGAGAGTTGACAATAGATATTTAATCAGATTGAGTGAATCCCTGGTTGAGGGTAGACATAACTTGAATGATGTTGTAACATAAGCTTAACTATCTTATTTACATTTAATATATTATTTCCTCTCAGGTTGTTTGGTTTGTCTCTTGTTTTCTTCAGCTATTATCTATTGCCTTAAGCATCAGTGACTGAAATAATTGCCTGCAAATATTTCAACAAACACTCCTCACATCGTCACTTGACTCCAGCATGAGTTCTGAGTTGGACAAGTCCTTTCAGCTGGTCCTCCATTGAGCCACCAGACAGATAAAATAATTTTTTGAGAATTATGTTCATTTTTCTCCCTTTGGCATTGGTAATATGAGTATAATATTGAATACTACTTCTAAGCTGGGAAGTGTAGGATTAGATTAAGTAAGTCAAAACTCCAAAGCTCTTTCCTCTTACTGAGATTGCTTTTTGTTCATTACTTTAAAGAATGGGCAGAAAATCAGAGATACTACTCTGCTATTTTCTCTGGCACTCCATATAACACTCTTAAAAGTATAATGTTAGAGAAGTGGAGAATTGACTATATGAAGGCAGGGTGGAAGGAAATAATGCATATACTTGGTCATTAAAGGGCATCATCAGGATCCTTGTGGTCATGAAATTGTTATGTGTTGATTGTGATGGATACAAGAAAATACTGCAACTTTTGAACACAAATTAGTGCAAACAAAATGAGAAAATCTAAATAAGTGAA